CCAGCACATCCCCAAGCCTGGAGAGCAGGGGGCCCCCCCAGGCCCCGGTCAGCGGCCCCGCATCCCTCCTGGGCAGCGACGTGGACGGGCCGGAGCCTGCCAAGGCGCCCGCCTCTGCCCCCTTCGTGCACGAGGGCCTGGGGGTGGCTGTAGGGGGCTTCCCCGCCAGCCGGCACAGTTCCCCCAGCCGCTCTGTGCGAGTGCCTCCCTTCAACTACGTGCCCAGCCCCATGGTGGCAGCCGCCACTGACTCGGCTGTGGAGAAAGCCCCCGTCCCCGCGGACCTCCTAGAATAGCGGGCCTGGGCCAGTCTTCTGGAAACTTCTTTCCAGCCGAGGGCCCTCAGGCTGCCCCGAGGATGGTCCGGGACCTGCTCGCCCACCTGAGTCCTGCCCTGGAAGCCCCACCCCAGCCCAAGTCAGCCTCACATCGCACGCTCGCTTCTGAGCTGTGGGGGCTCAGGGAGGGAACATCTCCAGGCCTCGCCCACATGCAGAGACCACCCTCCCAGTCCCCAGCGTCCCGGGCCCAGGCCTCAGCATGAGAGGGAGTCAAGGGAGGAGACAGAGCCTGCCCACAGTGGGGGACGGGGCTGTGGAGGGTGGCGCCATCGAGTGCCTGCCAGCTGGGCCAGCCCCGAAGCCTGTAATTACCACGGCCTGGGTAATCTGTTAATGACAACTCTGCCGGTCTGTTTGCCTTCCCAGCCCCAGCTGTGGGAGGGGTGTGGCTGAGCCCAGAGAGATAGCACCCCCTCCTCTGACAGCTCTGGCGAGGGAGCCTGGAGCCCTGAGACCTGGGGGGGCGCCAAGCCAGGGGCTGGAGGACGGAGGAGGCGCTGTGGGAGGTGCTGGGAAGGAGCAAGGGGAGAAGGGTGAAGGCAGCCGGGCTGGGTGGCGTGGGCCACCCCGCGTCCCCATGTGGGGGCATCGCTGGCTGCATCAGAGGAGGAGAGGAGGACCGGGGAGTTGAGCGGGGTCTGGACCGGCTGTGGCGGTGAGGTGCAGCGGTAAGGACGACGAGGGTCACCGTATGGTGACCCGAAGCCCAGATCTACAGGATGGCTCAGGAGACGGCCGGGGCCTGGAGCCCAGGACGGGCACGGCCAGCTGAACGTGCGGGGGTCGGGCTGCCGAGCTGCCGCCAGCGGAGGCGGAGAGATGGAGGACACAGGGAGCCCGGGCAGCTGGCGTCCCACCGCGCCCCTGCTCAGGGACCTCGGGTGCACGTCTTCCCGCAGAGAGCGCCGACGAGCTCTTTCCTGTGGGGGCCCGGCTCTCGGCCCGTGGATCTGCTGCCACAGCCATGTGCAGAGAGCCACCCCAGAGCAGACACTGTCGGGGAGACCTGGACGGTCTGACACCTCGAGGACACCTGGACGGCTCCCCTCCCTTATCTGAGCAGCGGGCAGTACAGGAGGAGCCCCGTGCCCGCCCACAGGCACCACTGCTGGACTACGCTGGCAGGAGCCGAGCCAGGGGCGTGTTTCCTCCGGTGCGGCCATCCTCGACTCTTAGGATCCCCGTGGGCCATGTTGATCCCAGCCCCGTGGACACGGTGCTGCTGCTGGACACACATCTGTCTCACGTTGCGTCACAAACTCTGGAGCTCCTTATCCTGTAGGACAGGTGCCAGGGCTCTGCTAGGGGCCACAGGCAGGACGGAAGGGCGGCCGGACACACCAAGTGCTCCTCCTGCGACCAAAAGACAAGCTGACATGCAGCAGACGGTGGCGACGACGGCTGGGCAGGGCTTTGCGCAGGCCCACAGCTGACTCCTAGGGGCGCACAGGGTGGGGGTCTCAGATGTGTCTGAGAAATCGCCAGTCCTGTCCCCATCTGCAGCCTAAAGGGGTGGCGCTGGGTGCTCTTCTCAACTCCTTTTTGGGGCGCAGGGGCTGTCAGACTCTCGCGCTTGCCTCAGGCCAGTGAGAGGCGGCAGGCACACCCCTGGTCCCCTGCCTCAGTCTCCCCACGTGGGCCGTGGGGAGAACTCCCCAAGCTACCTCTCCAGCGAACGCAGTAGCCGCTATGATGGGGGGGAGGCCCCCCGCTCCACCTGCCCCTTGTCCGGCCCAGCCTGAGGAGGCAGCGCACACCTCGGCCAGCGCCCACGGAGCTCGTGCCCTGTCCATGTCTGGTGGCCACTTCCGCCTTCTCCATCCCCCTGTGGTGCACGCACAGCCACACCTCACAATGTGGCCCGGCCTTGGGAAAGGCGATGGCTTCCTGGACAGTCGGCTCCAGGCTGGAGCCAGGGAACTAGTCTTGGGACTCAAAAGATGTCTCCCGTGAAGCCTTGATCCCCTTGGGGCTGCTCAGCCACCTGGCCACACTGAGGGGACCCCGTCTGCCTCCGAAGCATCCCCTGCCTGTGGCCTCGGGACACCACCACCAGCTGGGTGCTGAATTTGGGGCAAAAAGCCCACAGTGCAGCATTACCTCACCCCCCACCCCGTCTGTCACCTGGCCAATGGCCACAGCGCCCAGCCCAGCTGTCTTGGTCCGTCCACCTCTGTCCCCCTGCGTCTCTGCCCGGGGTCCCTGCAGTATTCTAGGACACGTGTAAATACGTACAGCCTGTGCCCCAACTCAACCCAGAGCCTCTGTCTGGCGGAAGGAAGGCACGGGGCCAGGCGTCTCCTGTGCACCTTTAATAAACAGCTGTCACACCGCGCTCCATGGGGCTGCTCCCGGGGTGAGGACGCGGTGGGCTGGGGGGTGCCGCCGTGGGTCTGTGTGCCAGAGGCAGAGTCGGGCTGCAGGGCTCACACAGGGAGAGCATTCGGGATGGGCGGGCGCACAGGGGAAGGAAGCAGACGGACCCCACGCGATCCTGGGGCGCTCTTGAGGGTGCCCAGTCCCCCAGATTCAGGTGGCCCCACCTGGAGGCCAGGACCGGACAGGAAGGGTGACCTTCGAGATGGAAGCAGGTGGCCCAGGGCTGCCTGGACAAGGCAGCCTCAGTGTCCACTGTCCTACCTGGAACCAAGTGGCATTTTCTGAACGCTTGTGCCCCCGGGGCCTCAGGGGTCTCTTGGGCCGAGGCGGGCACTCGTTCTTCGGGCAAAAGGTCTCCTTAGATGCTGGGGACACCTGTGTCAGGGACCTGCCTGTGGGTCCTGGAACTTCCATGATCTCTGGGGGACCGCTGCAAAGCAGCAGCTCACAGGGGCACTGTCCAGATGGCCAGTGGAAGCAGAGACTTCATCTGAGGGACTCGGTGGGGACACGCACAACGGGCCTGTCCTGCCAGGATGGACATGGTCGATGACCTGGGGCGGGTGACTGACTGGCTCATCCTTCCATGGAAGCCCAGGCCTGTGTTCCCGTCTGAAGCATCCCACAGCCAACAGGTTGGTCGTGAACCAGACAGATAAGTGCTCCCTGGGGGGCACCTACACCTTAGATTGGGGTGCTTAGGGCCACTGGAGGCCCAGGCCAGATCTGGGCCCTGCTGGGCAATCATTCCTCACGTGGCCAGGGCTCCTGAGGCAAAGAAAGGACCAAACCCCATACTTTCGCGTAACTTCCAGGGCCCCCAGTTCGCACTGAAATAAGCCGAGTCTAACAGGTGGTCAGTGAAGCAGGTGTTGCCGGGGCCACACACCAAGTCCAGTCTGGGCCGACGGCCATTGGGCCCCAGGAGACAGGCCAGGGGGTGAGCAGCATGCACACGCCCTGACCCGACTCTCAGGGGGCAGCTGACGTGGCACTGTCCCTGCTGCCATCACACACTGGGCAGGCTCTGTCCCCTGGGGCCTCTGGGTACCAGGGCGCAGCTGGGCCCTGGCACGGTGAGCCCGGCTTCTGGGACCCAAAGGCCCTCGTCTGAGATGTGCCAAGCCAGGTGTCATGGCGAGGACCACGAGTTCCAGGGTCCGGGGACTGCGTGCTTGGGGTGAGCCCTAGGGCCGGGTTAGCCCGAGGAGGCGGCCGCGGCCCCCGGCAGCACCGCCTGCTTCGCCTGGCCCACGGCCCGCTCCAGCTCACGGCCGGCTCGCTGCAGGTCCTCGCGCCTCCGTCTCAGCTCCTCGCCCGCCTGCCGCAGCCGCTGGTTGGCGGCCACGTAGGCCTGGCTCTGCCGGTAGAGCTGCTCGCGCTGGGCCTCGGGGTCCTCAGGCCTCCCGGAGGGGCCTGGAGTGTCTGGGGACAGGACACAGCCTGCTGGTCAGGGAGGGGGCACGGAGAAGACTCATTTACCCCCTCTGAGTAAAGCATGTGATGGGCGGGGGAGGGGGCAGCCACTCCTGGAAAGGGAGCTGATCCCACAAAGGGACCTCTGAGCAGGCTGGCCCTCATTCCCACTCTCAGAGACCAAGAGGCAACCTCCTGTCCCCTGAAAACCGGTCCCGTGGCCGTGTGACCTCGCAAAAGCCAGCACTCGCCATTGGGAGGCAGGATGGTGTGGACTCGTGACTCCAGGTGATCCCAGCTCCTAGTAAAAGTGTGCCCAGCGGAGGGGCGTGCGGGGCAGAAAAAGCACAGCTTTAGGGTCACCCGGAGACATGTCCAGGTTCTCTCCATGCTGCCTGGTCCCATGTGCGGACAGGGACAACATGAGCTGGCCCGCCTGTCTGCAGACACAGCCCTGCAGGCCAAACCTCCGGCTGGGGCCCGAGAAACTCTGCTATTTGACTAATCGCTCGTTTCCCACCTGCCTTCGTAACAAGGTGGGGAACGGCAGGTGGCGCACACGGGCCACCGGGAGAAGACCCTCTCCCTTGAGTGGGCCTCACCACTGCCCGTGCCTCAGTTTCCCTACCCTCCGAATTCTGGCCGGCCTGCCCATGATTCTTAAGCTGCGGCTCAAGCAGCCTCGACCGACCCAGGCTGTGGATAAACGCGACTTATGTCCCCAGGGCTGCAGAACCTTCCAGGTGACTGGCAAAGTCCTTCATAGGAGCTGTCCGACACAGCAGCCACGAGCGCCCCGAGAGCTTGAAATGCAGCCACAGGGAGCAAAGAACCCAACTTTTGACTGGTGCTTAATTTAAGAAATGTTCGAATCTGGATTTCGTCCCCTTTCCACTCGTCCAGATATTGTCTCCCCGTGGAATTAAAAAACGCGAAAGTGTTCTTAGGGTCCCGGGGCACCCTCTCCCCTGCCCGGCCCGGGCTCCCCCTACCTTCCGGGGCCAGGGCAGTGAAGACGGGGTCCTCGGCGGGCGCCCCCCGCACGTCCTCCAGGATCTGCTCCACCGTGGGGGGCGCAGGGCGGGTAGGCAGCACCACGCGCTTCCTGGCCTTGGAGCCCATCCCTGGAGGCGGGAGAAGGGAGCGTTGACGGGGGCGCCCCCTTCTCGACCTCTGGGCCCTTCCTCCCGCACAGCGAACCCCGACCCACCCTCGAGGCTCGCCCGTCAGCGTCCGGCTCCACCTGTGCCTCAGTTTCCCCGCTGAGGCGCGCGGGGCCGCGGGGAAGTCGCCCGGGCGTGCGCCCCGGGCTGCGGGGGCCGCGGCGCAGCTGCTTCCGCTTCCGGTCGGAGCGCGGCCCCGCCCCCAGGCCGCGAGGCGAACTTCCTCTCCCCGCACGCCGCCCTTAAAGGGGCTGATCCCTGCGCGAGCTGCGGGCTGGGGATCCGGCCCGGTGCGATCTGGGAGGAGCTGCGACCTCAGCAGCCTAGCACTCGAGGGGTGAGCGTCGGGTCCCGACCTGGCTCCCCGCGCTGTGTAATAAAGCATCCGAAGCCCGGCTTTCTGCAAGTGGGGGACACGGCCCACGACCCACGTCGCCGTCGTGGGAACAAAGTCCCTGTCCACGCACAGTGTGGCGCACAGTGTGCGCTCGGTGAACGCTGGCTGCGCCACTTACTGGCGAGGTGGCCAGGGACGCAGGATGCATGCCAGCATCTCATCTGCAGGATCTGGGTCAAGGTCGCCCCTCTGACCTCTAAAATGCCCTCCCCACTCGGCGGGTGGTGCTTGGCCCCTCCTCTTTTGGCTAGGAGGGGAAGACAGGCTCAAAGCAGAAGATAATTTTCGTGTTTTTTAAACAGCTTTATGGGGCCTGTGGGCTTCTGCGACAGGTGAGGCCTGCCTCTTTGAGCCCAAGTGAAGCCCCGTGCTCAGGGGTACAAGCCAGGCTCCACTTTCTCATGGAAATCCTCGCCCCACTCCAAAAATCAGGACGAATATGTCCCCACCCCACTGGTGTGTGTGTGTGACAGGGGAGGGG